ATCCAAAGAACCGAATTATTTCCGTTGCTGAGCGCCCCAATGCGAAGGCCTTCGATAATCGCGGTTCTTCGATTATACTCCGCACTGGTTTCAACTCGCGGCCATTTTGAGAATATGACTGTTTATTAGAAGCATCAGGTTTTCTCGGACGCCAACAATAACCTCTGGCACAATATAGCGAGAAATTTAAATTGAAATTTGTCCAGATTTTGGTGACGCACCCTGTATATTCAACATTTCATTGTTAATTCTCAATCATAAAGATTAACATTCAAGTGACACTTACATTCAATTTTGAAAATGACACTTAAACGTCATTAAGTCGTTTAAGATTTACACTCATCTATAGAGTGTCATGAGTAACAATCGCGATTGGGTGTTATCATCAAATTCGGTGTATAGTATAGTGTATGTACCAAACTATTCACCGAATTTAATGATCACATCCAACTGTCACCTAACATTGATGCGTTACGCTTAACGACACTTAATATTGAATGTCTATACCAAGGCAACACCGAATATTTTTGGTCACTCTCAACTGACACTCAACATTGATGCTCAACACTTAAGTAACATCCAATGTTGATGGTCTATATACTTAACTTTGATGGTAAACACCTAAATTTGAGTGTTAATACAATAAATAAATAATTGAGGTTTTTTTCGTAATAACTATTTAATTATGTTATGATGTTGCAATTTTTTATGATAATGATAATTAATTAAAAATTAAAACAAGGAAAATTTTTTAAAAGTAACTTAATTCACCATTGCGTTGTTTATTGAAAAAAAAAGTAACTTGTTATTTGTAACAAATACAGTTGAACCTGTATAAAAGTAATTTGTCGGGACCGATCGACTTAACCTCCATAAAAGTAAACAAATGCGCATGCGCGAGCATATGTGTTCGATTACTATATGAGAGGTTAAGACATGACTTTTACGGAGGTTAAAACAAAACGGAACTTAATTTTACAGAGGTTTGACTGTTAAAGTACCAAGTCAATGCATTACAAATAATAAGTTAATTACGTTTTTCAATAAATAATGCGTGGTGGTGACAAGTTATTTTTTAAAAGTGACTTTCCCAATCTTAGTTTTTAGTTAGTTACTCTTATTGCCATAAAAAATTGCAACATCATTGTTAAATCGTATTATTAACATAGAAAATAAAAGTAATGCTAAAAGTAACGTAAGTTTCTATCTTTGGTTGATTTTTCCTTTTTGTTTTTGTCATAATTACTCTTAAATAATTTCGTACTTCATATAGTCTTGATATTATTTTATTAATAAAGAAGCATTTAATTAAATTTTATTCTTGCATAAGCATATGAGATTTTTAAACAATGATATAGAAATTTTTTATGTTTCTCTGTGATATCAATGTGTTTGCTACGAATATTTGTTAAAATAAAGTGAATATAAGAAAAGTATTATGTTATAGATCATTATCCATTCCTGATGCATTTTTCGGTTATCTCAGTCACAACAAAAAGTTTATTACGCTAGAAAGAGGAACAATAAATCATTTTTTACTGTAATAGTGTGATTCGGACGTCGTCTGTTCAAGAGCAATATTTATCGATGTTCTCGCGAAATGCATAATTCATGCTTTGAAAGCGGCGTTGAGAACGGATGCCATGAGGCGAAGACTCTATCCGATAAGCAGTCTATTTATTGTCCATATTAATTACGATTATATGTCGAGTTATTACGAATTTTGCAAGTTTAATCACGCATTATTAGAATCTAATGCCCATTTAAAAATATTGATATATTGAATGATTTTTTATTTTTACATAGCGTTATTGAATTTTGAAAAACTGAGAAAGTTCATAAGGCAGATATACAGAGTATATATTAAGTACACAAAAATATTTTAAAAGATGATACCTCATAAAAATTGAAAAACTTCATATGACTATGGGAAAAATCCGTTTTGCGCTTATAACATCATTTAATGGATAATATATATGTTAATTACAATCGATTATTATAAGCGTAAAAGTTATTTGTAAGACTTTTATTTTAAGACTTTAATATTGTGATAGATATGATAGATAGTTTTTCATTTAAATAATCTTTATGTAATCTTCGTATGGTATTAAAAAAATTATTAGTATATTTAATAAAGTATAACTCGGCAAACAATATAATTTTTATAAACAGTATTAGTAAGTACAATTTCTAGTTATGTTTTATTTGATTAATAAATCACTTGTTTGTAGAATCGGAAAATTTATCTTTAAAAAATAGCAGAACATGTTTTTTTGAAGATTAAAATGTCACCATCTAATCGGATTCAATCATCAAGTACATCATGAATACGAAAAAAGAAATGTATGATCGATGGATAAAATGTGATGGTGGAAAACTTAGCACATTATTTTCTCAAAATCCACACACACACACACACACACCCACACATTCACACACACACTAATTATAGATATTAAAAATATCTATAATTAATAAAGTCGAATGACATCTTTTATAATTAGTATGATTATATTATATATACATATATATATATATATGTATATATATAATACATATATATATATATATCTCGTTAATTAATTTTATTATTTCTTATTTAACTATTTATTTACTATTTTCTTTATAATAATAACAACATTATTATTAAAGAAAATAGTAATAGTATAATCGTTTGAAGCGATATACTTTTTTGATTAAGCAATATACTTTAGAACTAGTTAGAAAGATTATTGAACCGGTGGGATATTAACTTTGTTTTTAGCTTAACAACTTGACTGAAAAACACAGAAATAATAGATCAATTCTTTTACAATGATTTATTGTAGTATATATAAAATTCTAATTGTTTTAATTTATTAACGAGTTATCAAATATATGATATGATACTTACTTTTGCTTTATTCCGGAACTTACGCTCATTATTTTAATTGTATCGTTTTTGAATCTCGTTAAGACTTTTGTTAAATCAATCTCTTGTTTTTTTCGTCTGAGAAATTTATTAATAATGTCACAGCTTTTTTATTTGTTTTACGTAAAACGGTATTGTTTTTGATATCGATATTTAATGATCCAAATTTGAATGCATACGATGTATTACGTAGCTACGTCAGAGCGCGATAAACATGATGAGTCTTCAATAATTTTTTGTAGTAATAAATTTACGTTGGTATAATTATCATGAACTGATAACCAAGTTTTAATAGCCTTACTGAATCCTGTCAATACGATTAAAACGAAAATATTATCATTGAGCAATCCTTTTTATAACTTAAAATTAATCTTTTTAAATGTTTAGTTTGTTAATAATATTTAGAAATATTTTGTTTTTTTCCATATTTAAACTTTTTTAGTAATATTTGATTTCTTCTGACATATACATATAATGTAATATCTATGATATTTTAGAAATCGCCGAAATGACTCTTTGTATATTATGAAATTTTCACACATGTAATTCTCCCAACATGTTTTAACTTTTCATGTATATAAGGGATAACGAAATTTTAAAATAAAGATAAATTTATAATTTTATATGATTAGTAGTATTTTTGGAAGTCCCATTGGTATGGTGTGCGGACAAGATCGCGAGATCAACTTTTATATTTACTCGTATCTTTACCCGCGTTAGAAGCTTGAGGATCCTGCTATATCCATCTTATCAATCATTCCAATTTCTTTGCCATAGTATGTCACTGTCACGCCTGGCAGTATCATGGCTAACATCGTCATCTGATCGGTTCTTCCGAGAAAACACGAAGCAGTACGATTACGATCATGATTTCTCATCTGCGAATATTTTGCTGTTAGTGGACTTCTGTAAATTACAATTATCGTTGCACTATATCAGTATTATAAATGGTAATATAAATTACTGTTTATTTTTATTATAAAATAAAATAGTTCAGTTATACATATACGTAATTATTAATGATGAAAATAAAAAGAAGAATAAAAAATAGGAGTTTTAAATACTACAATAAGGTTTAATTATTCAATGCTTCAGCATTAATTTTATATGTACAAATTAACATGTTGTCATATAAATTTACCACAATTAACAGTTAAATCCTTCGTTAAAGCGTATTAAATTATGTTATTACATATTTATATACACACATGCACACGCACGTGCGCATACGTGTGTGTTTGATATCGTTTGATATCATATTATAATATATTATCACAGCAATTGTTCTTTTTTTTTTAAATGATTTTAAAGTGATTTAATGGAAATATTTTTAATAATATGTTTAATGTAAAAATTTAATGTATAGTTCATATCAAATGGATAGTTGCAAAATTTGAAAATTAAATATATTTTTGTATTATTGTTTTGTTATATAATATAAATAATGGAAATATGTGAGAATATGGAAATACATTTTCTTATCACCCAATTAGTGATACTGTCTGGGCATCGCCTTTATCCATTCTTCTATTATCTTTTTAAACATAGTATTAGGTGTTGGAATTAATTCGTAGCGTTTTACAAGTGATGGGAAGTACTTTCATTAATGTATTTTTTAATGCTCATGTGAAATAAATAACATTCTTTCATTAAAAAACGCTACGAATTAATTCCAACACCTAATAACATTTGAGGTAGCACAGTCACATTTATAATAAAATTGAAATTGAAAGGAATGTGAGAACCATAGTTGTAATATTTGATTGTATTTTCTAATGAAGTGTATGTTTCAGTTCATCACCTGAAATATGCAAGAAAGAAAGATGTCTGTATAATTCAAATATATACTGAAGCAATGTAATATAAAAGTAAATTAATTCTAATTTTCTGAAAATGATATAATTACTGAAATAAATTTACAGATATTATATTAATATATATGATATTAAAAGCAAATGCATCTTTTCATCTATGTTATTATTAAGAGCATAGTCATTCAATCTTTCTCCAGCTTTGTACTAAATCATATATTTGTAGCTAATCTTTCGTTAACATATGAATCAAATAATTATAATCATCTTTTGATACCCTCTTTATATTGCTCTTAGGTTCATCCGAAGTATAATTTGTTTCGAAAAGATGCGGTTTTGCGTCTATGCGAAATCCGTCCACGCCTTTTTTTAATCAGTATATAATAGTTTCCTATGTTACATAAAAATACGAATATATGCGATTATATGCGATGCATAATATGCGATTTTCCGCTTGGTTTTTGCCTCTTATTTTACCAATCCGTGCGCAGCTTAAATGCCGATCGACAGGAACCAAGCTGAAAATCGACCGAAATGTGCAACTAAATCCCAGCATTGTACTATATTATGTGGATCGCATATTTTGCATCTTGTCTGTAATTAATTAATCAACGCGTTAGAGATATAATCGTTGCACAAACGAGACTTTTGTATTTCATTCTATCAACAAATATAATGTTTCACAAAATACTATATGTTTTATCCTTATTTCCTCTTGCACATGGGGATTAGAGTAATTCAAATCCGCCTCCAATGAAATTGATGGAAATACCATTGTTTATACGCGTTTGAAAATCCAAGCCGAACCGTCAACTACTTAACCAATTATTTGGTGGCTGACTGTTATTATTCTTTCCATTTGCCTATGTACATACATTTGCCTATATGTATAATAATGTTCATATTTTCCGGTACGATTTAAACTCACTTGGAACCAATAATGTTCATCGGAAGTATGATTAAATACGAAATCGAGAATGACCTAGAAGAATTGAATTAATTCAATATTAGCATTGTGACGAAATTAAATATTATGATATTAAAATTTAACAAAATTAATACTCGGTTGAAATACTTGTATGTTTTAAAATAAACATTTTTTATATAAATTAGTTTTATCTTTTATTACCTTTAATCCAATTTTTTTAGTCTGTTTTATAAGATTTTCGAAATCCATTAATGTATTAAATAGTTTTTCAATGTCTTTAAAATCTAAAATATCATATCCAAAATCTACCATAGGGCTTTGATTAATGGGTGAGCCATATTGCTCCTATTCCAGGTTCCTTCAAATAATTAAGTTTGCTTGTTATACTTGTCATAAACGAAGATTAACACATTAATTATAATATGATAGTTTATAACAAACATTTCTACTTTTTGATATTATAAAAGATTTATCTTGTTATAGGAATATTTTTTCAATAATAATGCAAGGTATAAATATACATTTTTTAAATACATGAAAATGTATATGAAAATGTTAATCTCTATATGTTTTTATATACATATAATTAGAATGAGAAGAAAAAAAAAGGAAATATTAAATTTAATTGTAGTCAGAAATTTTTGTGAAATTTTTTATGAAATATTACATTACGTTAATGAATGAATTAACGCATTTTGAGATACAATTCTTAGTTTTGAAACAAACAGAAATTTCTAGTGCATTATGAAAGATAATAATGACAATCATCTATTATCGTGATATCATATTTTTTTTAACTTTAAGCATTTTAATAATACTTATTTATCATGCTATTATACTTAGCACTATTTCTTGTGTAATATTTAATTAAATTGCTTTCTGTTATAAATGTTATTAATGCAAGAAATACAATTCAAAAAAATTAATTAAAATTTTTTAATATATAGTAACTCTATTATTTATATACATAGTAATTAATTTGATATTTTTTTATTTTTTTTTATTTTCTCTAATTATATTAAGTGAGTGCAAATATTACAGTTTTCGCTTATTGTTAAGATGACATTTTTTATAACTATAACATATTTTTTTGATATATTTTGAGAAACATACAATCTATTTTATTCTTTATCAATAAATTATTAAATTACCATTTATTAAATTGCCTTTATTAATAAATTATTAAAATATCCAGCAATGACTGTTAATTAGATATTGAATTGACATCGAATTGGTATCGAAATTGTCAGATCCATATCGATTCGATATCAATTCGATGAATCATTTCTTGCTGGAGAGGGAGGAGGAAATAATGTTTTTTAAAAATAAATTTTCTTAAAAAAATATTTTCTCTGTACAAATATTTTTTGCACTCACTATATGTCGAAAATATATACTATGACTTAAGATAGCAAAATCTGAAAGCATTAACTATTCAAATTTCTTCTCGGTACAAAACTATTTCTCGAACAAATATGCAATAGATAAATGTGTGGCAGCGTTATGATGTAAATCATTATGTAGACGAAAAGCACGAATGTATATATAACACAAAAATATATAACAATGCATTTAAATGCTTGCATTTTTTATTTTTCCGTTTTTTTCCGTTTTGTTTTACCTTGGAGATCACCTACGCCATCATTGTCAGAATCCATAAAACTGCGAGGATAAATTTGATAAAAAAACCTGTGCTTTGATCCTTGATTTGTGATTTCTTCCGAGATCAGAACAATCATCAATAGCAGATCTAGGAGGATAACGCGGGATTGCGATTCGAGCATCTTTATAATTATACGTAGCGATGTTTTCCGACATCGTAATTTATATGTGAAGTGGATGACATTGGAAAAAAGAGCCTTATCAAACGAACTGGAAAAATCTCGCGAGCTCGTGATAATTGTCAGATTATTCGAGAAGTAATATTATTTGGAATGCTGGTGATATTAATCGTGGATAACAATCTGCCGTTTCGCGCGAATAAAATTGCGTAAAGAGTATGTCTTCTGAAAATTGGCAACGAAATGCACACATTGAAAGAAGATATAATATATATCTTTATTAAAGATAAATCGACATTTAAGTTATCTATGTCCGGATTGTTATTCGATGTAATAGTCCTATAAATTCAGAAAAAAGAAAAAAAGGAAAAATCGTAGACAAATTAAAAAGAAAAAAAATTTAAGCACTTTGAACTTCTAGCGATCTGAAATTTCGTTTTGCACATAATAACAGCGGTAATTTCATTTTATTTGTCTATTCTCTTATTTAGTATGAGTTTTTTTATTATATTTCTTCTATAAGAAAATTTAATTATAGTTTGAATTGTCGGTCCGTTTATTGGAAAGATCCAATCTTTAATTAAATCGCGAGCAGTTTTTCCTTAAGAAAATCTTAAAGTTTATTAATTATTGTATAATATTAAAGTTTAATTATATTAGAAAGAGGAGAAGAAAAATATCTGTTAATTATACTTAACAAAATGTAATTAATAAATATTGTATATACATATGACGAAGTCTTAAAAATTCCATATCTCATGATAATCTCTTATATATTTCCTATAATTCCATAGCTCATGATATATTGCGTATTTATCTTTTATTTACAAAATTATCAGTAATACAATATATAGATAATTATAGATGATATCTATTTAGACATAATTAAACAACCCTAACAATCATCATTTTATAAATCCGAATTACAAAAACATTTTTTAATATACTATTTTTTTGTTAATTGAATACATATATCTATATTTATTAATAATTAAATTAAAGATAATTTAACTATAATTTAACTACTCTCGATTGCTGCGTTCAGAGGGGTATGCTATCAGCGTTATTGTCATTCTATCTTTGTCGTTTATTGGAAAACAAGGATAGAATGATATAATAGGATTGATAGCGTGTTTCTTGAACGCAGCCGATAATTGTCATCTTATAAGAGCGCATATATGTAAATAATTCATGTTTATTGATTAAATTTGATATTATAAGAACGTAATATATCAAGTAGGCATGAAATAAGTTTTATGTTAATATTACGATTTGAATAATAATTATATAATTTATATATTCTTATATGATGATTGATTGTCACTTTTAATTTGAAATTAATGTGGCAGGTCTTTTGCTGAAATTTATGAAATGGATTTTTTTCTCGAGAAATAATGATCGATTTGGAATACGTTGCATATCCTAAGAATTCTAATATTATTATATATACTAATACTTCTAGACTGATATAATTTAGCTGAGTTATTGACACAAATGTTGCGGAAAGCAGAAAGGAGATTAAATTATCGATTTATATCTTTTGAGGCACTAATGCAGATAGAATTAATCCCTAAGGATTCGTATTAGTTGGAAATGATCCTTATATGTAAACGTGTAAAACAAGATTGTATTATGGCATCCCAGTTACATTTTACACAATAACTTGATTAATAAGCAATTTAGGTTTAAAACTTAACAATCACGTCAAAACGTTTTTGAATCGATTTTGGACTCAAAGTTATGAAATATTTATTGCTTACGACACTACTAATAAAAATGTATATACATATACAAATGTATATACGTACACATGTGTATACATACAACTTTTGGCTTATATAGGCAACTCAGTAAAATAAATCCACAGTATGTGTAACGTAAATTATAAATTAATATTAGAGCTAATCAGTTCAAGGAATAATTATTTGATAGAAAAATCTCGAAAAAGGAGGCCTTGAGCAATCAACGCGCTTAGGAAGTCATATTAGCAAGACGCTATTGACATTGTTCAACTTTACATAACTCGAAATGTATGTAGCCAAATAAAATTTTAAATAACAAACAACACACTAAAACGTAATCGTGTGATAATATGCTTAAGTTTAATAAGAATGAGAAAGTATATAATTTAAAGTTAAAATATATTTTAAGAGGATCTTATTATAGAAAACATTATAGGAAACATTATAGGAAAATGGTGATTTTTTTTTAAAAGGAAGACTAATATTTATCGTTTTAAAACTTTTTGCACGTTTTAATATAACTATTGCACGTACAAAACAATTAGAGCACGTACAAATTTTTATGTGAAGAAAAAGTATTATAAATAATAAAAATATAAACATTTAGTTTGGCGTCTCGCCACGATTATGATTATGATTTTGTGTACATTCCAGCGGCTAATTTTTGCTGGAATAAAAAAATTAAGAAATATTTTTAATTGTTATAATTTTTCATCTTAAATAAACTTAAAAAATTTAAACAAATATATATAAATTAAAATTTTATCCAACTTTGAAAAAATAGTTACAATTTGCACTAACTAACAGCCATTTTTTTTGTGCAAAAAAATGATTTATATTTTTATTTAATTTTTTAGGTTCATCGAGTTGACTATTAGTTAACTACCAAACCCTATAAAAAGTCAAATACTTGGTCAAATATTTTTTTTTCCAATTGTGTACACAAAATTGAAGAAAACGCAAAAAAACAGATTCCGAGAAAAATGCGTTTAAGGTTTTCGATTTAATTCTTGAATACTTACAGTGCTCGGAAGCTAATCTGTTATTTCAGTGACATACAATAATACTTCAGCTTTCTCTTTCATTTTGAGCAATTTGAGTCATTCTACGTACATTTCTACTCAGGTCTCTTTTGTGCTACTAATAAGAGAATTGATCCCACCAATTTTAATGAGCTTTGGATATGTTGTAGAGCATGAAGAAATATTAGTTCCGTATTCTATAGTTTGTGCTTATCTCAAGATTTAAGGAATGAAACACCCCTTCGAAAAAAATCGTTTTTTTGTTTGGAAGAGAATATATCATCGAAACTATAAAGTATAAGAGATAGAAAAAAGTTTCCAGAAAATGAAGTTTCATGAAAATTGAACGCTTTAAGAGTACTTTAGAATTATAATAAAAATATATTTTTTTAAATTTATACCTGTGCATTATGCACCCGTATAAGCGCTGAATTTATACCGAAGGACTTTGAATTTCCTTTTAAAATTTTAGGGACATATTTTCGAAAAGTTGTATTATCGATTTATAAAAAAAAATCAACTTTTTTGACTCTCTAATGTAGGAAACCTTCTTAAAAACATTTCAAAAATCTTGAAAGTTAAAATGTATTATAATAAGTGCTGACTATTGCGTATTGACATATTAGCGTCATGGCGTAACGGCGAGCTACTAAATAAATAATTCCATAAGTAATCACTGGAATTTGTCACTAAAAACGGAGATATTAAGAAAGCCCGGGCTACTATATATATTATACTATACATAATACCATCTTCTCCTTTTTTGTAATGGACTTGTAATAAGCTTGTAAGACTTGTAATTATCTAAGCTTTAAATCGTCAAAAATTGACCAATCATAATCGCTTATTCTTCTTGCATTCGACTGTGATTGGCCAATTTCTTACGGCTTTGAACTTAGATAATGGCTTAGTGTATAAGAAAGGTCTATAAAGTATAAAAACATGCAAAAATAAACATAGTTCATATATGTTACATAAGTAGTGATATATTTATTATGTTAGAAGATACAGTAACTATGTATAATTTTTTAAAACTTTAATTTTGTTTTATTTAAAAATTTTATTATGTACATCATATATCTTAATCAAAAATTTATTATGTTATACTATAGAAATGTAGTATTATATAAGTATGTACATATGTAAAAATATATGATATCTAAAGTTTATATTACTTGAAACATTTAACGTTGGTATGTTTTAATTTATATCATAATAATTCACTATTTTCTTTGATATTTCATTGTTATATCATGCATATATGTTATTATCTATATGTTATTATCTATAGTATTATTTTTCGAGAATCCGAGTAACACGATAAATACAGAAAATTGACAACTAAAACGGCAATGGATATAGAAATGGTAAAATAAGAGATTAGAAGTACAACTATTTTAACGAGTAATTCTGTCTTTGTTTATTTAAAACAATATAGATATAATTACGTTAAAAAAAATATGATGCCTCGATTGAATACCCATGGTTTTTTACTTAGCTTTATATATGGTGCTAGTATATATCACAGCTCCTAATGCAGGAATTTTTACGGCATAAACATCTTTGATAATGTTTCTATATTTGAAAAAAATAAAAACATAAGTACACATTTGAGATAAAGAGATAATATATTAATGCCTACTTTCTTACGTTTTAATGCTATATTGTGTAACAATATTTCATTTTATAACAGTGTGTAATTAATATACTATGTACGGAAAAAAAGTACTTACCCAATGAGATGATGAGCATTAGTAGTGGCATAATAAACGTTTAATTGACTTAATGCATAAACAAGCGTTGATAAATCAACGGTTTCTTCTTCATTTGCAAAGTTTGCTATTACGTAAACTACCTCTCCATTAATTTTTCTGTAAGAAGTACATTATGTTTTTACATTCAACTTTAAACGCATTATCTCGTTAGAAAAATTAAATATCAAAAAATATATGGGTATATATATATATATATATATATATATTATGCTAGCATGTAAAAAGACGAAATATATTTTTAAATTTCTAAAATGTGCTTAAACAATATCATTAGAAGATAACTGCGTGTTTTTTATTATATTGTACGATTACATATTTACTGTACCTAATAAAAGCGAAAACATCATTATTCAATAATGTCGTGGTTAAGGCTCCATGTTTAATAACAGGCAATTTTCTCAGAGCAGAAACTGCTTTATACAAAGCATTGTAAGAGTTGTTTTGTTCTTTTTGCGCGGCTAAATTAAGTGTCAAGTAATTTTTGTTCACCGGCAGCCACGTTTTCTGATTCGTGGAAAATCCTGAAATTACAAATGTAAATTAAATTTCTTTAACATAGAGAAATTCTATAATTATATTATATCACGTCTAAGCTCAATTATAATTTCAATATTGCATATGATGTGATATGATGTTATTAATTTCTTGAATGTATTGCCTTTTCAAGATTAAGCTGCTACAAATGACAAATTCAAATTGACAATGATAGTACATTGTAATATGATTGATCGTAAGCAACTCGTTTCATCCTGAATTTTTCACCCACTTTCTTTTCATAATCTCAAAATGTGATGCGTGACCTAATAAATATCGCGTTGATTTTTAATATGTGGGTCATGACACGAGACTGACATTAAAACGACGTATTTCGTTTGATATGAACCAGTTTTTATAATGATCCGTTACTTAACGAAATTTCTCGCTATTTATTAACAGATCAATTATTAATCGATTTTTTGAGAAAAAATCTGTTCGCAAATGTGGCTAAATTGATATTTATATCAATATTAAAGTTTCAAAGCAGATAATAACACTAAATAATAACTTCTTCTACTTTAAAATTATTAACAAATTTGCAAAATGACAAGCAACGTATTCTTTTATCAATAATTCAAATATTTTATTATTTGAACTAACGAAAAGTAGCTTCAAATTTTGCTATCAGCTTACAATTAGTTTCTATTTATCAACTTCCGTAAATTTTCATAGTTATTACTAGAGTTTGAAACTTTTACAGAAACTGAAAATGAATACTCATTACGCGTTAGTTTCGACTGAAATCATATAGTTCTTCTCCATAAATATTAATTTTAATATGTGTAATTATTATTTTAATAATTAAATTATGATATTTATGAAAAACAAGTAGAGGAAAGCCCCCTATTATGAGATAAGTGTCTAATATGAGATAGTGGTGTTTCTGCTAAACTAATAAACGCTATCTATTGGTTCCCCCATGAATTTATCGCTCTTGGATTGAAAACTATTTAGTAGAAAATTCATTATTAGATCATGTCTGTAGTGTAAAAAAAGATTTTAGAATTTGGATGTCTTCACGTTTCATTGAGATGAGCCTTTAAATCTTGTTTATTATTTAATAAATAAATATTTGGCAATAAATTCTTCATGTAATGATAGAATAAGGTCGTATTAATAAAAAAATATGGGATATGAATTATTTAATTACAGAAGTTAGATTCGATAATCGTAAAACCATAAGGCGTGGAAATCGTATATGAGATATCCAGGATATTTTTAATATGAAATAACCCATGCTCCTATGTTATAGTGAAAATCGTTGCTAAAGAATAAATGTTATTGTACAATAATAAAAAGGACAATCAGAATGAACGTCGAATGCCTATTTCTGCGATGCTTGATTCCAACCCGAAGACGAGTTCTTCTATAATCTATCGCATGCTTATTTTTCACGTACGCTGACCATGTTTGTTTGCATTTTAGAAATATGAAATAAAGTTTTTAAATTGCAATACTGATATATTTTGTGTCTTACTTCCGATTTCTCGGAGCATCTCACATTAAGAGCACAATATTTTGACTTTGCTCGTTTTTTCTTTAATTTAAAAAAAAAATAGAATTTGAATTAAATTTTATATAATGTTATTTTAAAGCTTATTAAATTCCCTTCAAAATGACCTATTATTTTTTAAAATTCTGTCCATAGACTTCTAGCATTTATCCTTTATTCTAGCATTATCAAAATGAACTCGGTATTTCATAATAAGGGCCTTTCCTCTACTTATATTCTTTGGTCAAAATTGAGACACAAATTTCAGTTTTCGATTTCGGTCGAAATTTAATTATTATTTCAATAAATTACAATATTTATATGAAGAAAAAGTGTATGATATGTTTATACATACGGCCTTTATAGGATTCCTAAATTTTGATTTCGATTAAAATTGACATATAACCAATGTTTTGGTTCAGTTTCGGTAAAAGTTTCGGTCGGATTCTAATTATTACTACAGATCATAATCTACTTTAATTTTAGTCCAATTTAACTGATAAATTGACATAACGATTTTAGAAGTTGCTTAAATAAACTCATATATATACCAGCCGAAGTGGTGTTGTCCCATTGGAACGGCGTTCTTGCGGGATCTCGAGATGCTTTCTCGTAAACATCTTTGCCGGCATTGCAACCTTGCGGATCTTTGGTGTCTTCCCATGAGATCCACGTGTCCTCCATACCGATTTCATCCCCGTTATAAGTTACAGCTACTCCAGGAAGCAGTAAAGTTATCATGGTTATAACTTCCGCTCGATATCGTCCGTAACGAGTGACCAATCGTGGTTTGTCATGATTTCCTGCCTATAAAAAGAAAAGATAATTATGTGAAAAGAGAATATAATGTGAATTATATTATTGATTTAATTTATTATTAATTTTAAAAGTAGAGCTCAAGATGTTTATACGATAGCATATCTCGAATTGTTAAGTATTTAAAAAAAAGCATATTGCACAATATTTTAAAAAATATCAAGCTTTTAATCAAGTGGAGATATTTGAAGATTGATTCTAGATTCGAAAGACAAGTTTCTCTTACTCGAACTTACCACCCAGTTAGCAGTTGCTCTCAAAACAGGCATGTTTACCATCCATCTATCAATCAATCTCTTGAAATCAATTGCTTTAGAATTCTGATTCGTATCGGTAATAAAACCAAAATTGAAGGGAAAGTGTGCGCCGTATACATAATACTTTATCGTCATCGTCATGTTCGCGTAAGCCTCGATCATCATAACTTTTTCATCTGAATATTCGTTCAACACTTCTCTCCATCCTTTGACTATTTCGTAGGTATACGGAAGATCCTTCGTGTATATCTTGTATGTGTAGCCGTAATCATTAGGATTTGAATTACCCGTGAGTGGTTCGTCCAAGAATCTGACGTCCTCACACAAATGTGGCACCGCGTCCATCCGGAAGCCATCCACCCCCTTGTCGAGCCAAAATCTCATGACATCCTGAGAGCAGGAGTAGAGAGCACGATATATACATACATATATGCTTAAGTGCAGCATCTATATGTCTACGTTATCTATACGAATATTCAAGTAGATTAAACTACTACTAAGCTATGTGTTCCTTAAGATACTTGTTCGAAATAATAGTTGGTTTATAAAAAGTATAAAATGATTTAATTATAATTTAATAGAGAAACGATTCAAATAATTTAACTTAAGGAGTTTCTTGCGCTACTTCCTAGTCAATAGATAGTTTATTCATAATAATACATAAAACAATTAAAATAATGGAATGAAAAGATTATTAACAATAATCAACAATACTTTATGCCATTATACATAATTATTATTAATTTTATATTTTACTAAATATTTTCAAAATGACAAAATAAAAGTTGTAAGATGTTTTTTTTTATTTGTGATGTATGTATACGCATCATCCATTTGTATTATTTGTATTACAGCTTTTTTCATTAAAGAATATAAATTTCTTGTAAACTGTACGGTTAGTTTAAATGACTCTTTACGAGAACAAACTTAAGTGTTTACTTTATAATTATAATGATTTTTAAATTGCTGTCTTATACGCAAGTGTCTTAATTTGAAAGAGAATAACGACAAAATAAAGTTATACCTTCAACTTGTAAAGTAAAATTCTATAAATTTAGAATTAAATATTTTCAAAATGGTACGGTAAAAGTCAATACAATTTTTTCTAGATATTCTTGATATTATTAACATATGTATTACATGTATATTATAGACTTGTCTTATCTTTTATCAATCGAACCTCCTTAAGTAAATAAATAATATAAAAGGGGGCTACAAACCATGCTAAATGTTATTTCTTTGCATTGGCCGACTCTATTATTGGGAATAGATTTATTTAAGATACAGATGACAACTTTTAATGATACTACCTTTAATGATAACACCTATAAGTATGGTGGATGAGATTGCTTCCAAGACCGGGTCATATTGTACCACTTCATTTCAATCAATTTTTAACATGCAAATATTTGTGCGATTATTTGTATTTTCACATGGGAGCATTCTTGTTTTGTACCAGTATTAATTTAAATTATTTTAACATTGAAAATGACTCAATGATGGGTCGAAGCGTTTGTTTTAATATTATTTGTATTTTTGTATGTTGATAAAGTCATTAGCATATAACATTCAGCGTAAGTCGTAGCCTCCTTTTATATTACTTGATTTAATTATTTTTTTTTATTTTACATAAAATTAAATTGTTAGTTTGTTATGAATATTAGAACATATAGTAGTTTATAAGTATTATAATATAATTTACAGTGCTTTGATTAATATAAATAACGTATATATAATTATTTCTGTAATTTCGTATCAGATTGAATTATCAACAATAAGAAATGTGAAAAAAGTAAGTGCTATGTTCATTAAATTGATGCAATCATTCCCGATTAGTTAATATAATATATTAGAGTAGCATATATATTTCAGCAATACATGTATTGGGTGGATCCATATATTCGTTTTTGTTAGTAGTGCAAAAACGGAGAATCATATCATTGATTAAAATCCATTTTTTGTATGAAAAAACTCGTTTCATTTTACCTTCAAAAACCGAACGAATATATGGATCCACCCAATATATAAATATCTCAAGAAAAATAATGCTACAGTTTATTCTCATTGTCATTTCGATCTAGCTTTGTATTATGAACGTGGCACGTTCTGAGAAAATTTTGCGATATAAGAGATTTTCAAGAATTAAGACAATGATAAGAAGATGCTCAAAGAAATTTTCGCAGAAAAAAAGAAATTACGTAAAATATTAATATCTCGTGCACGAGCAACGAAATTCAATAACAAAAAAATTTTTGTTACGAGAGCAAGTCAATAAGTTCTTAGAAAATCTGTCAGAGGGCACTCGCAGTGTCATGTCATATTACTTTTTGACAAGTAGCATCTTTCAGCTCCTTACTGTCAAATTTTTAGAGGAATTCATCGCGTGGTTTCATTTCTATAGACGATTAAAGCGAACAACCTTTGTATTTTTTGCAAAATGGAAAAAAATGAGTTTCGTGAAGTGATCTACATCTACATATGAAAAATTTAACGAAAGAAATCAAAGCCGAGTTGGATAATGTTCATAGCACATCTGCACCAGCATTTGCGACTATATAATTGGGTGAATGAATTTAAACGTGGTCGTACATCCATATGTGATGCACCTCATTCGGGACATCCAATTGAGGTTGCTACGCCAGAAATCATCGATAAAGTCCACGATATTGTTTTGACTGATCGAGTGAAAGTACGCGAGCTTGTTGAGGCCACAGGCATATCACATGGCACAGTGATTTCAATTTTGCACGAACAATTGGGTATGAAAAAGCTATCGGCAAGATCGGTGCTGTGTTTGCTCACTGTGGACCATAAGCGTGACCGTGTGATGATTTCAAAACAATGTTTGGAGATGTTTCAACGTAATCCAGATGAATTTCTGCGTCGATTCATATTGTGGACGAAACATTGATCCGTTACTTCACACCCGAGACGAAGGAATAGTCAAAACGATGGACTTCACCGAGTGAACTAGCCGAAGAAGGCGAAGACCGTGAAGTTCGGCCGGAGGTGATGGCCACAGTTTTTTGAGATGCACGCGGTATAATTCATATCGATTACCTTCCATCGAAGCAAATGATCAATGGCGATTACTACGCAGATTGAACCGTTTCAACAACATTTTAAAGAAAAAACGTCCCCATTTGGCGAAGAAGAAAGTGCTCTTCCATCAAGACAATGCACGGATTCACACGTGCCCGGCACCGATGAACAAATTCAACGAATTCCGCTACGAATTGCTTCTCCATCCATCATATTCGCTAGATTTAGCCTCCTGCGACTATTTCCTGTTTCCAAACCTGAAGAAATGGTTCGGAGGAAAGAGATTCATCACCAGAGAGCAGCTCTGAAACAGAGGTTTATTTTGGACAAATTATATTATTCGGATGGCTTGAAAAAGTTGGAGAATCGTTGGATCAAATGTATCGAGCTGAAAGACGACTATGTTGAGAAATAAAAATGATAAAAAAAAATGTGTTTTACTATGTTTTTCTAAAAACTTATTAACTTGCCTACATACTGTTTTAATGAAAAAAATACGCAATAAGAGAAAAGGTTTTTTGTAATTATTAAATAAAACAAACGAAAGACACATTTGAAATTTCGCCGAGTTTTTAGGACCAATACAAAAATGATGTAGATTGTGTAGCGTCACGCGAGCTTGCCGCTTTATTCACTACACAGTTTGTCCAATCCGGATTTTATTGCGTGTATCAGTATACTTTACAACTTTTGGTATCACAGCTATTTCATCATTTCACTATTTCTCAAATTACGCGCGCAGGATTTAATTGTAGAATGCTTACAAAACTTTCATGTACTATAATTCTGCTAATTCTGTGTACTACATAAAAAAAAAAGAGAAGTATTATAGGGCCACGAAAAAACTCGACCTTTAGCCTTTAATTAAGTACGATGTGCAAATAATTTGTTTAAAAGTTGTTATTCCAGCTCGGCGAACTTTTGATTGTTAAATTGATCGTAATTATCTCGCTTCACGCCCGCTGGACATTTGTCACCATACAGTCGGACGATCATTATCGATTATTTTCTTCGTTAAATCGTATTAGTATCACATATATGAACGATATTTTAAGTGTTCACATCTTTAAAAAATTGGCTAATATATCTGCTTCTTGACTCATTCCGCAAGCATAATTTTACGCCCATTGCATACATTTTCCTGTCAACGTGATCGAAGAAAACATTTACCCATTCATTTTATATACATATATTTTAATAATTTGTCTTGATTTATGTGTCAATTAATTACTTTTAGTGTATATAAAAATGCGACTTTATATAAGTAAATACAATATATTACGTACATCGTACCGTCGATCGATTTTTATCGCGATCGTGATTTTTTTGAAATGCCAAAAATTTCTGAAAGAGTGGAAAAAACAGAATGGTGTTTGCTTTTCGTTTTGCGCAAAACGATGAACGGAAAATCTGTCGCACACAGGGCGATGATGACGGAAAAAGCGATGTCCTTGTACGATATATACAGGCCGGATTTATTTTCACCCTTCGTGACATCGACAACATGCTGTAATCCGTCGCCCCAGCTTTGCTGTTATGATTCCCCAAGACAACGAGATAACAAAATAATCCGATATCAGTTTTGATTTAAGTTCTAATCGAAAGAATTGGATATTTCATTAGCGATAATTTTTTTACGTCGAGCTGCAATTGGGCCACTTATCGGATTTTGCCTCCAAGTTATTAAATACAAAATTAATTTGGCCGACAAGCTGTCTTATCTCTTATAAGTAACCGGAAATTCACCGCAATTTCTAGCGTGAACTCTTGTTATAAGACTTATAAGCTTATCAATTTTTTTGCAAAATATATTATATTAATACAGAATTATAATTTTATATTTAACAATTAGTCTGTTACAATACTTCGTGAAATTTATTTAAACTTCATCATGATTATTATTTTGTACGTACCTTCATTGCATTCACTACATTCTCATTCTCATAGTTGAGATCGGGTTGTTGTGGTGCGAATTGATGAAAATAATACGCTTGTCGTTCTTCACGCCAGGTCCATGCTGGTCCACCGAACACGCTCACCTATGTATGCAAATAATTGCACAATTATTCTGTTACACACACACACACACACACACACACACACACACACACACACACACACACTCATCACACACACACACACACACACACAAAAGATGTAAATCCGGACAACCTCCACGCGGTACAGCTTGGGTAATGCTAATGCTAATGGTAATTTTTAATCTTTATAACTCAAGATTTACTTAATCAAAAGATATTTTATTATAGAGTTTTGGAAAGCTCTTGACATCGGCTATTAGATTCTAGAATAAAAAGTAAGATGTTTCATTAAAAAAAATCGATGTGACCTTAGCAAAGTCATTCAAGATCAAACTGATATATGATCAATAAATAGATCTTTTTAAACCCCACAACTTTGGTCGGAACATATTTTTGAATGGATCTTATCCTATGGAGATAAAAAGGGTGGACGGGTGGTCTGAGACACCCTGTATATATATGTGTGTGTGTGTGTGTGTGTGTGTGTGTGTGTGTGTGTGTGTGTGTGTGTGTGTGTGTGTGTGTGGGAATCGCTAAATATTTCATGGGCAGGTAGAGAGAACTAAACTGAGTTGAAAAGTCCTGTACTATTTTGCAATGTTCGTAATAGTTAACAAGATATTAATTACTAAAAATTGCCTAAAATTAATTACTAAATTGGTCTTGAATAATTTTTTATTTAAATACTATCAACTTTATAGAAAAACTGCAAGAGACAAAAATCATTTATTTTCTTCTCATAAAGTTCTAAGAATTTTTTCAGAATTTTTTATCAACTTTTTTTAGTACTGCATTTTCTTTTTTTTACATGAGAAAATACGGTATCAAAAAATTCTGAAAAAATTTTGAAAAAATTCTCAGAACTTTATGAGAAGAAAATAAATGATTTTTGTCTGTTGCAGCTTTTCTGTATAGTTGATAGTATTTAAGTAAAAAATTATTCAAGACCAATATTTGGTAATTTTTAGTAATTAATTTGTTACCTAATGCAATAATTTTGTATTGCGAAAATTGCAAAATGGTAGAGGACTTTTCGACTCAGAGATATAAAACATCAAGTACACCAGGGATATTCAAAAGAACAATGCATTTGTATTAGTTGGAAAATAGCAGGGTTGCTCAGTTTGAATGTATTATACCGTGCAACAGCATTTTTCACACATGAAAAAATCAAATTGTCCGTGAAAGTAGAAATAAAATCTAGTACCAGCGTGCATTTTGTTTGACGATATCAAATTATTTGCGTTTTTTGTGCGCATTTGAAGTTTAGAGGAGATTATTTCGTCTGCAGCGCAAGATGAAATTTTACGATTGTCTGGAAATTATGTATTTCCATGTAAAATTGATCTCTGAATGAGAAAATGATCAAATTAAAACGATTGAAGTAGAACAAAATAGTGAAAAAATGCATTTTTAATCGAAAATCGCTTTCGATTAAAATTTTTCTTTTTTCAGTCTTTCTATAATTTTCTTTGTGAATATTAATGAGAAAATGTATTTTACATGACTTCATTTAAAAGCAATTTTATTATTCGTTTTTCTAACAAAATAAAGAAAATTAAATTTAAAGTTATGTTAAATTTTAAACACAAAAAATTTGAAACAATCTAACTTTCGCGCGGACTAACTCGTCGGATTCGGATATTTCGGCTCGGAAAGCAAAAGAGGCTCGAATAGAAAGAAGAGATGCAGGCGGATAGAAAGAAAGTGTAAATAATGCGTTTAATAGAATCTCGACATATGTATATATATATAAATAATACGTGCAATGTGAAAGATGTACGTGTAATGTATAGGATTTGTACAACGTGCTTTGCGTGTGCGTGTGCGCGTGCGTGTGTTATTCGCAGAACGCGATCTCGCCGGATGTTACAGACTTTTTATGACACAGCGTAGTAAAGCTATACGACACATACATATTAGAGACCCTATAACAGAGATTCGTAAAGTGTCACGTGATCGATATATTTCTCTGATTGGCTGGAGTAATTCATAGTAGCTGCCATATTGAATTTACTATCAATATACTCAACATTGACTCCTGTTGACTGCTGTGTTATTACTACAACAATATGCAATTCGTTAGCATTGTGATGATGGATGTAAATTCTGTAGCAAATAAGATATGCAACATTCAATGCAAAGCATGAAATAATAGATAAATATTCACAAAACATTGAAGGATAAATTTATTAACCTCATTCCATAGTAGTCGACAGCAGTCGATGTTGAGTATATTGATAGTAAATTAAATATGGCAGCTATAAATTACTTCAGCCAATCAGAGAAATATATCGATCACGTGACACTTTGCGAATCTCTATTACACTATAGGGTCTCTAATACATATAATTGGCAATCAGCTATGCGCGACGGCATAAAGTTGATAGTGTTGGTAATCGACAGCTGAGAACTCTCGGCGAAGGCGAAGAAAACTTCATCCCTAGCTACTGTCGATTACCGTAAGTATGGCGAAAGTGCTTGTACTAGACGACTGAGAATCACTCGACGGAGACAGAGCACGCTCATCCCCTCTGCTGACGCGGTGCAAGAAAACTGCTGCGGTAGGCCGGCGGCCAAAAAACTCGGCGGGAGTAAAATACGCCCTGACCTCAGAGAGTATCCCGTCAGTGCAACAGCGCAAGGACTGCAGCTGGTCTGCGGCCGAATACTATCGGCAGGACAGAATTTCCTCTGTCCTGGGATTCCCCCATCGATGCAGCGGCTAGATGCAGAAAACTGGTCGAACTGTCGAGAACTCTCAACGATGACACAGCACTCTCTATCACTTTGGTTTGTGACGGAATCAGCCACCAGGAGTCAATATTAGTAGGATTCGAACAGGAGCAGAAAAGAGTCGCAAGCGTGAGCAACAATTCGCGGGTTTATATATGGATTGTTGTTTCCACGTATTGTTTCGGTCTTACTTGGCGATCTTCGCCGATCGACAATACGAGCGGGAACGATACCGGTCGGCGTTGTTCGGTATATATAGAGTTAATGAGCCTTCGGCGGAATAGCTGTCATCCGCGAGTTATGTGTTAGTAACGATATGCGTATCGTTACAAATTTATTAATTTAATGTACAAAAAAAAACAAATTATTTCGTGAGAAAACACAAGCGTTTGCTTTGGCATTTAAGTATGCTAATCTTGTTGTGTATCGCGGGACATTGACGGCAGTATTTGTTAATATGGCGAAAGTCTTTTCCTTTAAAGCATTGTTCGATTGTAACAATCTTTTGAAACGGCTCGTATTTTGATGGCTCGCTCTGGTT